GGGGGGGGGGGGGGGGGGTGTACTCATAGTCGTGCATGCCGTAGTCGTTTGACCATTGACCTCGCATCCCTACAAAGCCGGGACGGAGCACGCCGGGTTCTCACCGGACCAGGCTCTCACACCACCAAGCGCGAAGCGCCGTGAGGTATTTGGCGAGTCGCATGAAGGGTGAGCTGCATCCTGCTAAGGGTGTTCTGCATCTTGTGCTTACTTCCTTGCGTACGGATGACAGCTACGTATGACTTAATTTATTTTCTGGTGTTTTCACTTCCAGAGACAGTTGTAAGCACTGTGTAACTGCCTCGAGGATGCTTGACCAGTTGAACACAACGTGGTACGATCATCCCCCTTGCGCGGAGTGAGGGTTCTCCACCCCGCACAACATGATCTACTCGACGACCATTATGGTTACCACAAAAAAAAAAAACCAGAGGTAAAAAAAAAAAACCGGCAACCTGGTTGCCGAGTTCACGAAGTGAATTGGCTTGTTTTACAACGTCGTTGCCAAGCGACGAAAACCCAATACCGGGGGGGGCGGCTTGTTTTACAACGTCGTTGCCAAGCGACGAAAACCCAACCCCGATGGCAAACACCGAGGGGGGGGCTTGTTTTACAACGTCGTTGCCAAGCGACGAAAACCCAACCCCAATGGTAAACACCGGGGGGTGGGGGGGGGGGTGCTCATGATCATGCCGTGGTGTTAAGACCGTAGACTTTGGTATCCCTAGCATGCCGGAATGGAGCGCACTGGTCTACTTCCAGGATCATATTGAAACCGGGGGACGGGGGCAAGGGCGGTGCCCGTCTCGGCCGTCCCATGCGCTCTATACGTCGTTTTTCAAACCTTGGGTGTGCTTTGGGACTATCTCTGTCGAGGGTCACGCGAGGTGGACGCCACCCAGCAGCCCAGGAAATACACTGCGGTCCATCTCATGTTCTGTAAACATCATGCCGCATCTTTTTCGGGACAAAGAGTCATGGAGTTTTCAGCAAAGGAATTCAATGTGTTCTCGTGGTAAAATTCGCAGGACCTTTATTTACACGGAATTCATTTCCCGTTGCGTGTAAGAGTCTGGGTGAGTGTGCGTGTGTGTGGGGTAAACAAAATGAGTATATCATGGATGACATATTCACACCCCATGGACCGACTTTCGAAGTTCGACTGCTCCACGACCAAAGGGGTGTAGAATGTAGAAGTCAAAGACTGCCTTTTCGGGAAGCTCGACGAGAAGGTTCCAACGACGCCATCTTCGGCGCCGCTTCTCGTTTCTGCTGTAGCAATCGAGCTGTGAAAAATCGGTTCAGGGTGTGCGATATGCGTTTCCGGAAATCTCTTGACCAGATTGACTATGCCGACAACAACGAGAACATCAAGTGGATGCGTGCAACAATACGATGTGTTTCCTTGACATTCTTCTTCCCCCTCATACCACAACAGCGACAACAACAACAACAGCAACAACAACATCCACAACAGCAGCAACAACAGCAGCAACAAGCACAAGCACAACAAAGACACTCACTTTCCCGTCACGAACCCCTCCAAGACGCCTCCCCAATCCGTCGCCGTCGACTGCACCGTCGCCACTGCCGCGGCCAGGACAAAGACAGCGTCATACGCGTACGCGAGCAGAGGGTCCAACCTTCCCCCTGGAGTCAGGGTCCCGAAGCCTGCCCCCGGGTACTTGTCGCTGTCTAGGGCCGCCCACCTGGAGGTAAGGTTTGCCAGAGCTTCAGACCCCGACCCTGCCGGAGCAGCGGAGGGAGGTGGACGCGTGCGAACGCAAAGCTAGACACTCATCCTATTGTGCGGAGTAGTTGGCGTTCGTCATGTCAACGTCCGCCACAATCAGACAACCAACCAATCAGATGTTTCCGATATCGCACGTTGGCCAGGTCGTCAACCCCCCCTTGGTTTTCGTCGCGTGCGTGCGCGCATGTGCGCATTTCTGTGTTTTCGTCCCGTGGTTTCTGGCGCGCCAGCCTTTCCCTTGTGGGAAATTTCGACACATCACCCGGGGGCCACACAGGTGGAGGAAGACCAGGCAGGCCACCGGTGTGAACAGTAGGGGGGGACCCATCGTAGAACTCCAGTCATCGAAACTCTTCGGTCTTGGAGAAAGAATACTCCGGAGTAGACAGTTTAAGTTCTTTGGACATCAGGTCTTCATCGCGAGGATCACTCAATAGCCTTTTGGATTGGATGAGACCACCTACGCCAGCAGGATTCCTCGCCTGGTGTGACAGGGTTCGGGAGAACACCTAGTGTGCCGTTTCGGGCTGGTTATTGAGTTCGTTTGGAAGGGGTGGGACCTGCCTTCTTCGTGCGAGTTAAATTCACGGCCTCCTAAAACAAAAACAACATACAGTTGAACAATGCATATAATAACACTCTTAATTCGTGGGTTGGATAGTTCGACAATTAATGTCGTCGCGAAGGTCACGGGAAATGTCATTCAAAACAACCTAGACAGCAGCAGCAACAACGGAGGTATAACAGCAACAACCGTAGCCTACGCGTGACGTTTCGCTTGGGTAACGCCAAAAGACACAAGGCGCAAGGCGCTAGAAGAAGCTCTTATCATCTACAGCATCCACGACAACAGCAACACCGACACAGTCGTCCAGAGATTCGTGGCTGCGATGTTTACACGCCCGAGCAAAAAAAAACAGCTCAATTCCTTACCTTTGATGGCGGGGCACGCTCTGACTCCCAGCATGCCCCGGAAGTCGTAGGCGAGCTGAGAGTCGTGGTAGGACTCGTTGTGCGAGAAGATCCCGTCCATGGCGGAAGGTCCGCTGAGGTACCACTGCACGTCCTCGTTGGCAAGGCCTACCTCGAGTGCCTGGTCGTTTCGGCGACCGGAGTGCGTGTGAGTGGGAGAGGCTTATCGTGCTGGTGTAATACTCCAAAATGAAAACCGAACGAAGCCGTCGGGGGGTGGGCTTGTCTGAACGCGCCCAGATATTCCGGACAAATGGAAACTGTCCTGTATTCATCATGTACGCCTTCGGACGTTGTTGCGGGCATAATTACATGGATGGGGGTGCGACACACCTGCTCAAGCACCGATCTGACGAAAGCACCGTCGTAGCCCTCGGACAGGAAAACCACTATGGACGCGTGGTCCTCCACCAAGGCTGACAAGGTCGGTCGGTAGTCTGTCCCCAAGATCGGGTCCACCGGCTCGCTGAAGACATCATTCGTGGTGACGATAGTGATATTGTTATTGTTAAGGGAGGTGCAGAAGACGAATTTTGGTGTTGACTAATTTTGAAAACAAACGCAAGAGCACCAGAAATTGCACAACAGACACCCCAGACAAGTAGGAAGGCACCGCGAAAAACAAAAATCGTTGATTCTCGCACAGGGTGGCCGTAGAGGCTGCTCAAAACATACGTTTCACGCGACTACCTCCACAGGCCTACTTTGAAATCAAGATAAAATTCATATCATTCTAAAGTCAAGTCAAAAGAGCCAAAACGGAAGGGGCTCAAACAAGGTCAGTTTTGAGGGTTAGGTTAGGCATTCTATTGTCATCCGTAGAGGACATCATGAAGAGGCGTCGTGCGTGCTGGCACGTTCAGGTTAGCTACTGGAGCTGAAATACCGAAGGTCGCAGCAGACTTTGAAAACAGTCCGAAATCTGCGCCGGAACCAAGCGGCATCCAACATTTGTCACAGCCATGCTCGCCGCCACCGACCCCAATCTCCTGAACTACGGGTTTACAGCGTTTACAGCAGTAGCTGATGCCACTAGCTACCCTCCGTTCAGGGGTTTACGGTCCGTGGCGGTGAGCATGGCTTTGACAAATGTTGGATGCCGCTTGGTTCCGGCGCAGATTTCGGACTGTTTTCAGAGGCTGCTGCGACCTTCGATATTTCCGCTCCAGTAGCAAACCTGAATGTGCCAGCAAGCACGACAGCTCTTCATGGTATCCTCTACTGCTGACGATATAATAATGCCTAACCTTACTCTGGCGGGAAGGTTGTTTTCTTTCTTTGTATAGGATTAAAGTATGGGAAAAGAGCCAGCGTCAAAACCCCTTTTCTGCACCCCCTTAATGTTGATGATATCGTTGTTGTTGTGGTCTTGACGCCGATGTTGTTGGTATGGTGTTACTGATGATGTTGATGTTGAGTTTTCGACACTGCGCTGGGCAGCCGTGTAGGCTTAGCTGGCAGCTGTGTTGCCTTTTGCTGATGTTGTTTTCGTGTCGCTACATAAACCAGGTCGCCCGCCTACGATACATACCTCTTCGCGAGCTCCATTGACGACGGCATCTCCCCCGCGGCATTGGAGTCAATATTGATACCCTCCGTCCCCCTCACGGCGCGAACGAACGCGGAGGCGGCAACAGCCCCGTATGTGTCGTCGGGGTATATCATGGACACACGCTCGGTGGTGCGGTACCTGGCATCATGTTCAGACAGCAACGAGCCAGCAGGGGTGGAGCAGGTTCTGTTGGACCTTCGTCAACGACAGTTTGTCATCTGCTTAGAAGGTCTACTGAGATGATCAAATCTATCGGTCTTGCGTGTCACGGAAGTTTGAAGGGGTAAGGTGCGGGTGAAGAATTGCAAACACGGGGCCCCAGAGGGGGGTTACTTGATCGTTGTTGTCTGGCACATCGGCCTATCCTTGCAGGTAAATCGGGTTTTATCCCTTCCTGGTTGTGAGCAATCGAGCTTTGAAATTCCATATGGAGGAACCTCCTGCCGCTTGAACGTGTCGGGCGTTTGGGTGGTTGTGTTGACATTTAGGTTCCTCCTGTTCGTGATAATGTCAAAGAGGTCGACCGCGCGATGCTAGTGACCCCGACCCGCAACAAGAAAATACTTTCCTCCTTGTCAACATTCACGCAGGAATGTCTGCTTCACTTGACCGCACAGCTACAGGGTGCTAAAACAAAAGCATCGAGAACAGAGCAACCGCAATCATGAGAGGAAGCACTAATGTGGACGTTGGATGAAGTGCTAGTGCGTGGACACGTCCATGGCGAAGGTAGTTGGGGGAAGACGAAACAACAACGACAACGCCCGCGACGCCAACGAGACCTAGAGCCAACAACAACAGCACTAACAACGACACGAACACCACCACCAACGCCATGACCAGACCTAGAGCCAACAACAACAGCACTAACAACGATACGAACACCACCACCACCGCCATAACCAGACCTAGAGCCAACAACAACAGCACTAACAACGACACGAACACCACCACCAACGCCATGACCAGACCTAGAGCCAACAACAACAGCACTAACAACGATACGAACACCACCACCACCGCCATAACCAGACCTAGAGCCAACAACAACAGCACTAACAACGACACGAACACCACCACCACCGCCATAACCAGACCTAGAGCGAACAACAACAGCACTAACAACGATACGAACACCACCACCAACGCCATGACCATAACCACCACCACCACCACCAATAACAACCACGAAACCGACCACAACCGCGACACTAACAAGACTTCTTGAAACACCACTGCCACTACTGCCACCGCCCCCCCTCCCCCCCCCCACC